CCGGTGTAGTGATATTTTAAGGTTGGAACTTGTTGGTCAATGGTAAATTGTGGAGAAAAAAAAGCCGAAGCTTGAGATGTCCTACCGGATGATCGGTTAGGGGTGAGCAAAATGAAAGCAAAAAGAGCAAGACAAAATAGCGAAAAACCACAAATTGTCAATTTGGCGGTTACAGCGTTCCCCGTATGTGCAGTCCACATTTGTTAACATCATTGTAGCCAGCTATGTCAACTCAGGTAACAAACACAACTAACATATTCATCAATGTTAGCCATCACTCTACAGAACGTTGTCCGAATTCGTGTCAACCTCCTCGTCTAGGCAGAGTTTCAAAACTACCTACGCCCGCACAAGGGTCGGTGGTACATCAGTAATAGATAAAAATTCAATCGTTCAAAAACTGCTTTGCATATTATCAGTGACATTTACTCTGTCACATTTTTTTACCGATTGTGACTTTGTATCTATACTCATGTACTATTCGTTTACAGTATTTATCCATGTCCGTGGCGTATGTGCTTGGGCTTGAATATTCATCCTTCAAGGGTGCATGAAGCACATTCTTGACTTGACTTCACTGACTTGACCAGTCCTAATTGTCAACTCTATGCCCTTTTTGTTATTGGCTGGCCTACATGCACGCTAAAAATTCATCTTATCTCTACTGTTTCAACAAGCTGGAAGCCGTCCGATTGGTTTGATGAAAACACTGTGACCACTAGCGCATTCGTGTCGGAGAAGAATGCACCGTTCACTGCATGTGTGGATGACCGTACCGATGGGGAGAACGGGTGTCATTTTCGCAAACCTCTACAGCGATTGACTCGAGAGGTCGGTCGCATCAAGAATGCTGGGTGGACGGAGAAGGCGAAGCACATGCAGTGCTATACCAAACGCCGCCAACGTAATTCTTTGACTCCTTGAAAGCGTGGTTAGACAAACCTTGCAGACTCTGAGAACGCTGCTCGATGATACTTCAGGAGCTGCCTGCCTACAGACTGCAGAAATAATGCAGATATAGCGAAAGCATTTGGACTGTCTCTTGGACAACCGTTCAGAGATTGACTGGGCTATGTGCCGCAAGCTGCAACAGCAAGCGATGATGAGTCTTCCCGACACACAAACACTGCATGAGACGCAGTGAGCATTTGCTCAGCTGCAAAACAGCAAGTGCGCCGGCGCCGACGAGATTTCGCCTGAAGTGTTGAAACACGGCGAAGCCGCGTTGCTAAATGCGCTACACCACCTAGTGCAACATGTGTCGATTGAAGAAGGATTGCCGGTCGAGCTGAAGGATGTCCCTGTGCTACCACCGTAAAAGGGCAAAGGGGGCAAGCAACGTTGCACGAATTATCGTGGCATCAGCTTGCTGAGATGTGCGGATAAAGTGATCACCCGAGTTTTTCTCAACCGCCTCGTCACTCAGGTCGTTGAACTGAAGGTGGCGGAAGAGCAAGGCCGACTCCGTTCGGACAGCAGCGTAAGAAATATGGCAATCATCATCCTTACACATTAACTTGATGAGAAACACACTTTCACTATTAAGCCGCGATACCTTAAGATACGACATAAGAAAAAGCAAGATATTGAAAAGTATGGAATGCGAAAAACAGTTAACGGACCACTTGGTGAGATATTATACGGCATAAGGGAGATCGTGATTGGAGGGGAAAGATAAGCGGGATGAGGAGGATAACGAAACTCACAATACAAAACGCTACTGAAGTCGGCTCCTCAACACGTCAACGAGTGTATCGAACCGGACGTGTTTATCATCCATCGGATCCCAGCCAAACAGTCGGGAAACGGCAACCGACGTCAACTTCGAAGTGAAGGACTTCGTTCCTCTTGACCAAGTCATAGCTTGGCCACTCCTCGTTTTCGTCCATCCGCACCCCGGGCGTGCGAACAACGCACGACGCAGGAGACGGTGGGCTGGCATGCACAACACGTGGCCAAGTCATCGGAGCCTGGTGTGTGAAATAACAGTGCTGGGTGATTCACTCGTTCTTGCACCAAACACACGATGCCGAACCCGCTCATAGTTCATGCGGTGCTCCCACCAGATGTGAGCTAAGCTGCTTTATGTCTGCCGACTGGATTGGCCAGCTTTTGCAACCATCCAGGAGGGTTGAAAGAACGGCTGCATCGTAAACTGCCATTCAGGGGGAGAGTGATATCACTCCGACGTCACAGTGGGCGGAGAATGACAAAAGCGCCTCGAGTTTTTGCTATGCGGTTCGTGTTCTCATTTGCCCTTCCATTTGCGCTGATATAGCTGCTTAGCTACTTGAATTTCTCGGAGCTCCTCAACTGCAGAAGAGATGCAGAATGTGACATCAACCATTGCACTCGCTGTTTATTAACTTCACCAATGCATTTGACAGGATGAACCGCGAAGCACTGCGGCTGATGTTGCGTAAGTTTGGTTATCCCATTAAGTTTGTAGGTTTAAACGAATGTCTGCACAGTGGTATGCGAGTGAGGGTACAGCTGAGGAGACAAGCTTCGGATGATCTTACTATTTTCTCCGATATGAAGCAAAGTTGTGTCTTAGCCCTTGCCCTGTTTACTTTTTATCTTCATGAAATGATGTCTTGTGCTTTTGGTTCTGCTTGTGAATACGGGGTTTGTGTGGAACACTGTATTGACGGTTGGCTGTTGAATTTCTGTCGTTTCGTTGCGAGAACCATAGTTTATGAGACAACCATCCGTGCGCTGCTGTTTGTTGATGACTCTGCGCTGTTTGCACACAGCCCAGATGTGTTGCATCACATGAGTACGGCTCTCGAGTCGACAGCAGCCAAGTTCTGGCTCATCATCAACACAAACAAGACTGTTTCTCATCTCCAGCCGACATCAGTAATGGAATCCGTGGGCCTGCCGCAAATCCACATTGGCAGCGACATTTTGGAAACTACTTCAAAATTTTGCTACCTAGGCAGCGGAATGTCTACCGACCTGCAGATGACGAAAGAACTGCGTATCCGTGTATCGAAGGCGGCTGTCCCATTTGGAAGGCTAGCAAAACGTGTGTGGAACAAGCACCAGCTCACTCTGTTGGGACGAAGCTGCTGGTATACAAGTCTATGGTGCTTTCGGTTCTTCCATACGGCAGTGAATCCCGGACGCATTATCAGAAGGATATCCGTTATCTGGAGCGCTTCCCTCAACAGTGTCTGCGTTGGATTTTACAAATCGGATGGGGTGACCGGGTTGCAGACACGGAAGTGCTGCAAGCAGTGACATGGATGCAGTGGACTGCATATTTCTGCCGAGGCACCTGAGGTTACTTGCGCATATTATTCGCATGGATTCTGCGCGGATACCCAAGCAGCAGTTTTATGGACAACTTAGTGTATGGAAGTGGCCCGTTGAGAAATCGAAGTCATGTTAATAGGACATGGTCAAGCTGATTTGATCAAAAACTAACATTGACTTCAGGTGTTGGGAAGCGATGGCAGTGAATCGGCGCGAATAGTGAGAGAATATCAAGAGAGCGATTGCCCTGTTGCAGGAGAAAGCAGCATTGCACATGTGTAGAAACGATAGGTACGGAAGCGACAGGCGCCTATGGAGTCTACCACATCGATCTCAAGTGCATTGTGCTGCAGCAAATGCGGTTGCAAGTGCCTGAACCAAGTGGGTCTGTAAGCCACAAGTGTGACCACACGGGTCTAGCACCCAAAAGGCGACGAGTCATGAGATTGTCCAAACAGCATCAGCGCGGCGTTCCTAAGTATGATGGGTCCGCTTCCATTTGCTTTATTAAACCAAACATAAGAGAAGGAATCAGCTGTACGCCGGTACTGCGTACCGGTGCTGCACTGCCGCCCAATCACTACCACTCGCGTGTGGCCTAAGGATACCGCGAGGGTCACCCGGTCCCTAAGCAGGCTTGAATCGCGCCCTCGGATTACAGAACAGACTTGTGATCCTTAAGGCTATGGGCCAGCACTAACCCAGGACAATAACGCGATTGATGTGGCACGTGTGCTGCATCATCAGTGCAGTTGGTCTGTACTTGTGTATACCTGCGTGTTGAGTTTCTTGCATTTCAGGTGTTGGCTGTTGCCTAATATCACTGGTGTAGCTGCGCCTGATGTGAATGTTGACAAGGTGCTTACCACTCTAATACCTTCCACGTCGATAACTGCCTCCAGAACACTGTAAAACGTTGCTGGGGTGACGGGGTTCACGCTTCTCATGATTGTACTAGGCCCAAATAGTGGTTCCATCCTATATGGAGCGGGCTATAGACCAGCCATCACCTTGTATACGTATGGTATGCGTGACACCCCAATTAAACTGACTGGTATTTTTCTGCCGTGCATGTTGAAGGGGTGTGGGCTGGCACCGTTGGTGAAATGTGGCTCTCATCCACATGCATCCCGGTTCTATTCTTCCGGGTTTAAACTGGATATGGGGTGTGTGGAGGGAACTTTGGGTAGTGTGCCGCAAGCCTCCAATGGTCACTTTGTAGGCATGGAGGCCGCAGTGACAAGCAAATCCGTAACCGGATGTCACCAACAATTTGGAAGACATATATGCTGGTCATTTCAAACGAGTTACATGTTGTTTTTACGGAAGGATGCTGTGTACCGAGATATTTATAAGCTACCTTGCCACATTTATCGTTTCCTGTTCTCAGCTTTGTTTTAGTGTTTGATACCGGGGAGACGCGTTGTTCAAGACTTTCCAAGTGATTCCGTCACTAAAAATAATTCTATGAATAACAAATGATATTAAAGCAGACAAGATGCGAGGCAAAACCTTTCTCGTTCGGGCTGATTCCATCATAATGAATCAACATGAACCCATAAATTTTCGGAGAACAAACCTTTTTGTATCCGCCCAGTCAACCTTCGGTCAGTCGATAGCTAAAGTAACAAGCAGGACCGACAAGATCGATCCGGTTGAGAAACTCGAAAAATGCTAGAACGAGACAATAAATTGGCCGCAACCATAACACAACATCAACGAAGCAAACCGCGGTGTACCTTTGAACAGTGTTTCAAAGCCTTCACAGTCCGGCTTGAAGGCGAACACCTCGCCATGTGCGTTACACGCCACAGCCCAAATGGCTTTGGGTGGCATAAACCGAATGGCAGTAATAGGCATACCCAGAGTCCATTTAGATGGTCGTGGCAGCAGGTGTTGCTTGCCATCCGCAGTTTGAATAACCTAAAGTAATACACAATAAAAGAGATGAGTGTGAGGTTGAGACTATGGGTCAGTTGGCGACATCATGAATGAGGCCGCATAGTAGCCGGTTTGTAAAGTAAATGGATGATTACCTCACTCGTACAGGAAGCAGCGTAGAGCCGAAGATTCGTCAATAGTGTTCGATACGGACGGGTTAGCGTAGCAGGTCGGCCGGTGGCCGATTGCTCTGCACGCCTGGCATGCAATCATAAGGTCACCGGTTCGAATCCGCGTAGGGGCGCGTGTCCTCGAGATATAGTCAACCAACACGCGACTGGTACTGGTCGCAAAGCAGTGGAGCGCTTTTACAGCGTAAAGCTGGCGATCAATTTTGTTAGCGTAGTAGACAACGCTGGGTTATCCAGAGCAAGACAGATACTCGAGAGATAGCTTCGGTGGATCTAACTCAGATTAGTTGGGTTCCAAGACCTATGTGCAAATCATACAAACCCGAGTGGATCACACGGATTCATGAGATTCCTGGATAATCGCTGAGGGTGCAAAGTCACCCTACAAATGAGCAGCAGAACAGAGGTAAGGTTCCTGGAATAGTTGCGGTGCGCAACACGAGTGGGATGGGGGGAAGGGCAAACACCACGGGTATAAAGCATATAATAAGCCCCAGCCACTTCATAAAGCACCAATGAGATCAAGGTAGCTTTTAACTGAGACACAGAGGTAACACATGCTCACTTGTCGTAGGGCTCTGATGTTTCGCAGTGAAGTAATAGATCTTATAGACAAACGTACGGCGGAGAAACAGTACCGTGTTGGTCCGGTTTAAGAGTCAATAGTTGGTAAATATAGCTATTTTTCCTTCGAACACAAATGACACATTTACGAGGAAACAGAAAGTAACAATAAGCATTAATTTCGATGGATCACAAAGAACTCAGCTGTCCAATCACATCGTTGGAGCGCTATCGCTGCTACGGGCGAAGCTGAGGAAAGTTTGGGTCACACCTTCTAACCTGGCTATCGGATCACGACTGGATAATCAAGTCGGATAAATTCGTACCCTAGAAAATGTGAAGAAACTATAGGTATCAGTGATAAAATAAATGGAATCGCACACACTGTCATCTTACCCTAACGCTAGTGTTCGCCGATCCAACCAACAACTGCTTTCCGTCCGGGCTGAACTGCACCGCGTGAACAGAATAGTCGTCTCTTAGACGGCGCCACGGTTTCTTGCGCAAAAATTCCTCGGTATGCATTTTGCATGGACCAGTGCCCACGGGTTGCGGCATCTCGCAATCACCATCGCCGAACAAGGCAGCTACGTTTAGCTCCGTATTCCCGTTGGTTGTGGCAGGCGTTGATGGACAACAGTTGCATGTCAACGTCAAAGTTGGCGGTATACGAAGCTGCTTGTCGTCGTCGTCGTCGTCGTATACCCCTTCTTCATGGGTATATCCACCCATTCCGGCTTGGTCATTCTTTTGAGCATTAGTAGGATCTTCAGAGCGATAGTGTTTAGAACTGTCATAGCCTGGTGGAAAGCAGTGCCTCACGAAACGGACGCGAGTGAAACGGAAGCAAGGTTTTAAGCCCGATTCAATCAGTGCTCCAGCGACCAAAGCAGACTCCAAATGACGCCGACTCATTGCAATAACGGGCGAACCCAGAAGCGTTTGGAAGATGGCAAGATTGGAGTGATCAGATGAGAAGACAACTCAATGCAGTGCAAGCAGTAAAATCCTAGAGGGTATCTATGACATATAGTATCAATGGAGGGGCCGAAAGGTGTGGCTAGCCTGAAACAGAAGAAGCGGGTGTGTGAACACCAAGGAAACGGGATGGAGGCATTTAGACACGGAGGTAACAGTGTGTACATAGAGTTATTCCAATCTGTAAACTTCAAGCGACGTCATATAGTGAGAAAAGTGAATGCAGCGACCAGCGGTGAAGGTGGGAAATCAGGGGGTGTTGCATATCGAGAATGAGCAGAAGCAGCAGTATTGAGGGACATTGCAACGGATAACCATTAGCGCAAACAGCTACAATTATGTGAGGCGGTAAATAAAATCGATTCCGTGTCAAACATAACCAGACTGTATTCCTGATGACTAATCGGTTGGGATAACTTCAAACATAATTCTCTAAATTTCGAGCAATTAAGTGGCCTTACGAAATTTTAGGAATTGTTAGGCTGTTCGTCTTGCCGTCTTCTGTCATCAGTCTTATCGTCGTCTTCACCGAGCGATCGATCGATGAAATAGTATAAGTGGGTTGGTTTAATAAAATAGTTGATGGTCGAATATCATAGTAGTAGTTGTGGTGCCAGACGAAGTGGAGTTCGATAACTGTTTGCCTAGCCTCAGAAAAGCCATAACATCCTGCGAGCGATGCATCGTGTTCTGGGAAGGAATGGAGTTTTTATTGATTGAACAAACAGACAAACTCAGGTAGGGAGAATGTAGAGATAGGTGGGCGGGTTTGATGGGGGGGGGGGTAGTTATGCGCTCTGAAGTTTCTGATAAGACTGTTGGACGGTCTAGGCTGCTTCCACCCAATCCGATAGAGCACGAGAAGATGAGTCGGAACCGGAGTATATCTGTCCCGATAGGTAATAGTAATTTACAAGAAGCAAAGAAAAAAAGGGTCAAATAATAATAGGTGAAATTCGAATGTGTGAACAACTTGAGGTGAAGCTAAATAGTGAAAGAAATTAGGTCCGTATTAAGTCTTAGATTGGGGTCCATTCAAATGTGGTAAAGTTGTGCATTTGGCTTGAACCGCATAGCTCTACGTACGATCAAATCACGCTCGGTTGGTTCATTCCTCCAACAACGATGTAAGTCCACAGCGTAAAGGTCAGAAACTAACAAACTGAAAACGGGATCCGATAGACTGTTTCCATTTTATAAATAAATAAACAAATAAATGGTGTATTCCTCGGCGATGCGAGGTGCAGTCCAACTATGTTGTCCGATCGATGTGTACAGCAGAACTGCAAAAAATATTCAATTTGTTCACGCTTTAAACACTGAATCCAAAACGGGGATTAAAGTAATTGGCTGGTTTAAGGTGTTAAAGAAATTAAAAAGCCAGGAACAATAACAAATGCAGATTTAAACAAATGTCCAGGTAAAGTAATACAGCTACTCGTGGAACCGTCCCAGCGGACCTGCTTCCATGCAAGGTATTCCGTCTGAAGGTTTCGCCCGCTCTTCCATGCTACACCTGGCCGTGTGCCGGTGTGGCATGGTAGCATATGAGCCATCACCGGTTTATCATATGTTGTGTTCTTTTTAGGACTGCTTTTATACATGTATTATGGGCGATGAAGCCTCAGCCCAGTTCAGTATGCGGATCATTTAATTATGGCACTTTTTTATACGCCAGTCAGTTGGTGGCAATGTGCCTTTTGTACTCTGGAAGCAATAATCCGTCACCACAGGAGATCAGCGCAGTGGTGGCCAACAATGAAATAAAGAGGAATGTAGAAAAGAAGAATGATGTGAAAGAGGTACTATATCGTTAATGTAAAAAAACAAGCAGGTAAGTTTTGTACATCAGCGTAAAAATGGATCGAGCCGATCATACGATCAAATTGTGCGGCGTGACAGCCGGAGACAGATGACTGTACGAGTTGTCCATAGGCAAAAGTCGCATGGGGAATCAGTTATTGTCATCACTGAATTCAAGTATATGTTTCTGGACTGTTAACTTCAGAAAGGAAGGGGAAATGATTAGCACTGGAGAACAAATGTAGCGAAGGGGATCGCAGAACAATATTACGAATTAATCAATTTGTGGGGAAAATTACGAAAATAGTTCCTGACGTCACACCAGTAAATAATTTGCTCTCTGTTTTAAACGGGAGACAGTTGGTATGAATTAAGTTTAAATGGAGTAAAACCGCATAGGAGGTAGCGTTAAGGAATAGCATAAGAAGCGGTTTGTAGCAGCTCATCCTAGCTGATCAAGTTTTCTCTGGTGCAGTAGAGTTGATGTTCTCCGGTTTCATACATGATCCGGCCCTTCTTCATACAGCTTTTCATCATCAAGTTGAATTTTTAAGATCCATTTCGCTCTGTCCGTTGACAGATAAGCCTTTATCATTTTCCTGAACATGCAGTAATGTTCAATATATCTAATCTCTTTTGGCAGCTTATTCCATATGGAGCCATACCTAAGAAGATAGAAATTTCTCCTTAGACTGCTCTTGAATTTAGGTAAATAGAATATGCATTCATTATCTCGCAGTTCATAAATGGTGTTTTCCCGAAAGTGTAATTGATAGGTTCCAATATATGCTTTCCGCCACGCGAGTTTGTGGAGGAAGCACAGATTTAATTGCATTCTTGGTAACCACAGAGGTACAAGATTCAACTGCTTGCACCTATCTCGGTATGAAAGAGCGGTTGAACAGCCAAATATGCGCTTCGTAAAGACGCGTTGGACGTTTTCAATGGCTCTCAAGTCAGCCTTTCGCAAGTTACTGAACACAGCACAGCAATATTCAAGCAAAGGCCAGATATTGATTTTGAAAGCAATTAGTCTGGTTTCTTTCAAGGTTAGCAGGTGGCATATGAGCCCGAGCGACTGCTTAGCCTTTTTCACGATATGATTTGTATGTTCGCTAAAGTTTAACGAACTAGAATATCTTAAACCTAAGTCACGAACAAACTGGCTGATGGGAATGACTTCATCATGAAGCCTGAATACTTCTGCTGCTATCTGACATCCATTCGATAGAATACTACACTTCGGTGTTGCAAATGTCATCTGCCACATATCAGCCCATCTCTCAATGGCTTTCAAGTCGCTTTGGATTATGTTAACTTCAGCGGTACGCTGAGAGCCTGGAAACGTGTAAACCACCTTTAAATCATCAGCAAACAAATAAGGCTTCCGAAATTGTATAACAGAAACCAGGTCATTTATATACAGTAGGAAGAGTAACGGGCCTAAGACACTGCCCTGTACCACTCCACTGGTAACCGGACGAGGTGAAGAGATGTAACCATTGATATCCACAACTTGCGACCGTCCTACTAGGTAAGATTGGATCCAAGAGTTAAGCGGATTTGTGACACCGTACTTACTTAATTTACATAACAGCTTTTTGTGTGGGACTCTGTCAAAAGCCTTTTGCATGTCGAGGAAGATAACAATGCACTGAAGACCTAAGTCAATTGCTTCAGTTAGATGATTAAGGAGGTCAACTTGACAAGTAACACGCGAGTGGGACTTCAGAAAGCCATGCTGTGAAGGTGAGAGAAGTTTGTGCGATATTAGGAACGAAACCAAATGTTCCTTAACAATTCTCTTTAGCATACGTGAGAGAATGGCTGTGACTAATGGGGCGGTAGTTCCGGATGTCAGTTTTCGACTCGGACTTAAGTCTCGATACAACCGTAGCCGTTTTCCAACGTTCGGGATATTGACCAGACTGCAGAGACAAAGAGAAGATATTCAATAATATAAGAGGGATATCATCTCCACCGTGTTTAACTAAAGCAAAAGAGATCCCATCGGGGCCAGGTCTGTAGGATGGTCGTAGACAGGTAATCATACGTCTTATCGTAACGATACTAAGCTCGATCGTTGAGACTTGTTCAGAGAAGTGAAAGGACGTTGACAATTCCAGGGTTTCTTTTCAAGATTAAAGGATTTAGCAAAGTATGATTAAAGGCTTCTGCCATATCGATTGGGGAATCCATGCATTCGCCTTCAGGCATGACGATGTGGGAGGGTAGGTCAGTTTTACCGCCTCTCCTTTTTCTCAATAATGCAGTCAACAGTCGACTTGTATTACTACTATTTACAGCCCGTTGTTCTTCCCTCATGAGAGGGGTGTGGTGTTCCATGTCCGTCTCAAGTATAAGGCGTTGGAGTCTCAGTAATACGCTGAAGTCGTGAGTACGTTCATAGGTTCGAGTTAGCACTCGTAGTTTCCGCTTGTCCTTTGTGTTGTTAGCGTACTTAGAAGATGCTCTCGTATTATCATGGGAGGCAAGTATGCTTAAACACATAGTCACATGGTCATAGAAGATGTCAGAGGCTCCCTTAATATCAGATGAAAGAAAGAAATGATTCCAATTTTGGACCCTAAGCAGAGCGGAGAAAGCTACTCAATTAACATTTTGCAGGAAGTGTGGAACCGCCCCGCTGACCTCACATGCGACGACTCAGCTATAATTTTACATCCGACTATTTTATGATCACATCCAGGGAGACCGCCAATTACACCCGTAGCTACCTGGGAGGTGCCCGAGGTAAAAAGTAGGTCTAGTATATTTTTACCCCTGGTAGCCACGAGAACATGTTGCTCCCAACCACCTGTGATGACGGAGGTTATGAACTCAGTATGTTTCGCTTTTGTTACTGTCTGACCAACAGACATCAGGTAGGTGGAAATCTTCACCTACGAGTTTAGCAAAAGAACCGAGTTCCGATATGTAATTGAGGATGTCAACTAACTGGTTCTCGTCGCTGAGGCTGGCCCCGGGTGAGCGGTATATCCAGGCTACAAGAGTTGCTTAGTACCGAAGGACAAGAGTAACCAAGCGGAATCAATAGTGGGGTATATAAGTGGAAGTGTGAATTCCGAGACAAGGTTTTGTGAGTAGTAAATTATGCAACCACCTCCTCTGCCTTGCTTTCGATCACTTCTAATAATCTTGCAACCTTCGACAGAAAGCAACTGGCCGAAATGTAACAGTTCACAGTGACCACTAAATAACAAGGCAGCTATGTTTAGCTCAGGATTAAATCGAGCCGGTAGAGAGGTTGAAAAGTACGATTAG